CTTTTTTTAAACATCTTAAAAGTATTTTTTACCTCTTTGTACGTCTATAGTGAAAAAAGATCAGTATAGATCATTATTACTAAAAACTTTACTTAGAGAGCAAAATTTAGGTGAATTGCAGTAGGTAATATATAGCAAACAAGATAATAAGCTTTCAAATTCAAAAAAAATTTAACTAACATGAATTTTTTTTTCTAACAAGGGGGAAGAACTAATAAGACGGGTATGGCAAAAGTGAACAGCTTGTTGAAAGTTTAACTAATGATGGTTTACACAATATATATTATAGTTTCACATAAATTAATAATTTATTAACAGTGCAGTAACGCATGGAAAATAGAAATAGATTCTTCTAGCAGCAATGCTGGCTATGTTTTCAAATTCTTGCTTTCAAGGTACCTATCTAGTTTAACATTTGATCAATACATGTGAATTCGATCCATATAATTAATACTTCAAATACTTCAAATATTAGGTGCACGAAATCTATCAAAAATTCAAATGAGTCAGAGTAGCGTATTCTTTTAGATAATTTCATGGAGGATGTAATCACTGTATTGAATTACCCTGAGTGGCTAGCTGCTAAAATGATAGTTTGAATATTTAGCAAAATCATGGTATTTTACCTTGTCTAGTTGTCGACTAATTAATCGAGTAATTTTAACCAGTATTCAAGTAATTATTCTTTATTCCTATTATATAAACTCTAGATTGTCTATAGAAAAGCAGATAATTATACAAAATCAATAGCTATTGACTATTTAGAAATCATAGCTGGACGTATCAAAAAATTTGCAAACACAGACCTCATCTTTGGTGAAGGTGTATAGTGCGAATTTTTTTTTTATCCTCAATAACTAACTCAACCTTAATTACGCATATCCGTAATCTGTGACAGGTTAAGTCACTGATTTCAATCACTGTTCGACTATGCCTTAAATCAAGAAAAAGCTATTGTAATTTGAAAAGGCTTATTATTGTGAAGTCGAATAAGGTGCTGCGA